CTTTTTTTTTTCGGTAATTTAATTTTATTTTTTCGTTTTTATTTATTCTTCTATTTATTTATTTTTTACTTGTTTTTTTTTTTTTAATTTTTGAATACATATTCATTTACTTTTAAATTTTGTATTTAAACAATTCATATATACCCCCTCACCACTCACCTCCTCATTGTCACTCATGATTTTCTCCAGTATGATTTCGACTTCACGCTTCTCCGCTATTTGCGTTGTCCAATTGTCTAGACTGGTTGTTACATCGACTTGACGCTTACTGAAACCGTTGAGGATATCTTCGACTGCCGTCACTGAGGATTTCGTTTCGAGATATGGATCCACGATCTATACGACAGCGCCAAATGCGTTTGTGTGTGTGAGCACGGCAGTTTATGCGTGTGCGCCCAACGCCATACATATTTGTTTTTGTTGGTTTTTGAAATGACAGAAATAGCAGAAATGTTGCCGTTATAGATTTTCTCTTATTTTCCATTAATACTTCTATTTATACTACATACATATGTATGTATGTTACAGACATACATACAAACAGTTGTATAGACATTTTGTTACTAATTTTGTGTTTATTTTTCTCCGAACCGCAAGCATATGTATATAAGCTTATACATAAGTACATATAATATTTATATATATTGTGTTAAATGCTCAGTATTTGTTGTGGTACTTTCAAGTGTTTTATAGCGGCATACGCGCTCCCAAAAGTGATTCGGAAACGCGTGCCGCTTTCAAAAAATCTTAAAATCAAAGCAAAAGGGACAGAAGTTGCACTATTTTGTGTCGCTCAGCTGGGAGTTGTACGCAGCTAGGCGCATGTAAGTGGTTTATATATGTAAATGCTTAAGTACAGTTGTAACTTTTTGATATAAATATGTTCATATGTATATATAAGTCTGCATAGGAATATATATTTTGGTTGGCAAGTGTGTAATTTAATTAATGGCAATGCTGAAAGCGTTTATCCATTATATTTATATACTCAATTAGTTTGTTATTTACTAGCTGAGGTTGTTTTGTTTTTGTTTTTTAGTTTTTTTTCTTTTTTGTGTTTGCTGTATCATCTTTTTTTGTTATACTGCTTAGGAAAATCTTCTCAAAGCTAACCTAATTATTACTTCTGTAGATAATATTACTTTATGGATAAAAGTTTTTTTTAAGCAATTTTATTAGCTTGTAATTATGTTTTCAATGGCGTGTTCGAGTGCACTTATGTTTGAGCAGTTCATGTTGTAATGATATCCTACCACTTAAGTCTTTTATCAGGCACCCCTCAATTTATTATTAAGGGCCCCATTTCAAGAAAGCGAATATTACAGAAATTATAGTTCTTGGATAACATGGATTTCTCCTTCAAAATCGTTCATTATTTTATTGATATATTATAAATTTTTTTTTGTACTTTATTTTACCTGAAAAAGTTTCATTTTCATTTTTTGGTAACGATTTAATATCACAGCAGATATTCGTGGAGTATATTTTCATATCCATCATATATGCATTAGGGTTAGTCAATAGAAGCAATTTTTTTATCTTGGTAATCTGAAAATTTATCTGATAAAATGAAAAACAAAATATAAAACTGTAACGCGGAGAACCTCTCTTTTATAATTATGAGACGAATAATTGGAGAAACTTTCCTAGAGGTGTGTAAGAACCTATTATCCAATTACAACAAGAGTTGAACGGAAATTGTTATCAGAAATTTTCTCAGTAAATCTATCTGCTAATATGAAAAAAATGAGAAAGAGAAACCTTCTGTTACAATTCAGATCTTATAATTGGAGTAACCAGCCAGATATCCCTTAGTTATACTTACATATGTCTAAAGACTAAATGTTTGGTAGGAATAATGCTAGAAATAACTTACATTTGTTAAATTTGAAAGACGTAATGCTTAAAGACGAAGTTTCTTAAAAAATTATGGGAATATAGTGGGCTTGGATAGTCCAATTATCAAAATAATAATATATTCAATTATATGGCTTTGACGTACGATAAAGTCTTCAGCTGATTTTATTGCTTACTTTATCTATATCAGGCGATAAGGTTGGGCGTGTTTTTTATGAGCTTGGCGGTTTTCATTTGTTAAAAGCAATAGATTAATGACATTAAAGCGCATTGCTGAAATAGGTAAGGTTGGGTTAGTCTGCTAGTTCAATTAGCCGCTTTGGTCTTTTGCGATACCAGAGCAGTTACTAGGTCCAAGAGGAGTAGTCATCCTTTAAGAGATGCTCCATTGTTTCCCTGGTGCCTTACTCTTGATATTTTCTGCAGTATTGTCGATCTGTCAGACCCATTTTGTAGGTATATGCCGCCACTAGCAGTGACCAGTTAGTTTTCCGATCATGTTCCTACAGTCTCCTCTATCGAGTGCTAGTAGGAATTTTATTATACCGAAATTTTTAGAACCCTAATCCATGTTTTCTTTCTGTTCAGCAGTATGGCTATGTTAAAACACATTTATATGTGCTTTTCATGTCTTTTTCGATTATTTTGGTCAGCTTATGGAGAAAACTCATGCATGTTGCAAGCAATTTTCGCTGCTACTCATACAATCAAAGCGTATGTATATCTGTTTAAGACTCAATGTATATCTGTTTAAGACTACTACTTGTGCCTTTTCAATGTGAGATAGAGAACAGATGCCTGTGCAGCTGCTACCTTTTAATAATTTTCGAAAAATCGACTCAATCTTTTACACAGTAAATAAATGAATATTTAAAATATATCATTAATTTCGTATATTATATACAAACGATATATATATGTATGCACTTGTACTTGTTGTCTAATAACCAGTTAGTTGTTTGAAGAAATTGAAATATTTGGTGAAATTCGCAAGGTAAAACAAATTATGCAGTTTATCTCGCATGTGTTCAACTTAATCAGATATTTATGAGAACTAATAAGTGTTTGTGGGGTATATACAAATTTTTGCTATTTCGATATTGATAATGGTCTCTTTATTAGCTGTTTATGCTTTTCTCGTCATTCTTGTCATTGTTCTAAAAGTTTTAAGTGAACTTTTAGGCTTTTTTTATTTGCATATTTATTCTCATTTCTTTGAGCTTCTGTTATTTTTATGTACCACTGTAATCTATTGCAGCTAATACTAAGATATGAAATATACTATAGCTGTTCTTTGCTTTTGATTTTTATTGCTTATCGGTCTACCACAACAAATTCCAGCCCAAATGTAGGCAACATTTATTTTTTATGGCATTAATAAGTAAAATATTGACTTCGAAGTTAAAGATCAAGGAAGGAAAGAGGAAAACGAAAGTTAAGAAAATCCAAATTCGCTAAATGTGAAAAATAATAGAAAATAGAATGGTTATAATAAAAAAATTATAAAAAAG